CATTTTTGTCATTTAGCAGACGCTCTTATCCAGAGCGACTTACAATTAGTGAGTTCATACATTTTTCATACTGGCCCCCCTGATTAATCGAATCAATTGGCCACCCATCCTTTGTTGCCAGAGTTAAGCAGGAAGCGAAGATATTGACTGTGGAGGAGTTTGTGGTCCAAACTAATGAGAAATCATTGTGACTTCCTAACAAGCATTATATTACACTCTCTCTAAAGTGATCCTAAAGCCAGAAGTAGTGACACAGGATGAGGAGACTAGTTAAGCAGACACGCTGGTCACATACTGTTAATGTTATTTAAATGTATTTTTGAAATGTACTGTTTCATAGTTTTAGATTCAGCTACCAGTGTTTATAATGTTAATAAAAATTTGAAGAATTAAAAGATTGTTAAAGAATCTAAAAGAAGATTAATTGATAACTGCTCAATTAGATGGAATGTTAGCCACAAAGTTACCACTTGGTTTGTACTATTCCTTTTTTTTAAAGGAATGGAAATTGTCATTTTATTTAACAGATAGAACAGTGGAGAAAAGACAGGAATGCAAATCACAAGGGCAGTGGGTCGGATTCAAACCCACATCGACCCCCCTGCCATACATGGGTCAGCAGTGGCACCAACTGCTGGACCTCACAGGCCACTGCTATTTTAACTTTATTGCCAATATCTCTCAGATTAGCATCACTGGGTTACATTTGGCGTAGTCGGTTTGAGCAGATGGTATTGGAGTGGGAAGTGGGGTTATTTTTAAATGTGTTCATACTATAGGCTGTCTCCACTGCAGGTTTTGACTTGAGGTTGCATCGCTGCATCCGTTGGCCTCCTTATCCCCGCCTTAATCCCAGAGTGGGAGGTGACAGCCAGAATGTGTCTGGCTGTAAATTCACTACATACTGATGTGAGACAGGGAGACAGGTGATGGTCACTTTTTATGGGCCTCAGAGAGCCGGACTAAGATGGCTGTTGCGTGGTGCGTCTGGGGTCATGGGGAGCTCAAGTGGCCGTTTATGGCACCCTCTATTCCGTCTGAGATATTACAATTGCTATACAATGTAGCTAAGAGACAGCCATGTTACAGAAAAACCAGGCCAAAGTAGGCGAATGCTGCCACATCTTGTTTGGAAACAACAAAGAAGCATCACTTTAATTTCACAATCATATTACATACAACATTATTATGACTGTCCAATGTCCATTGCCATAGTCCCTCAAGATATAATAAATAAAGATGTATGCACTCACTAACTGTAAGTCGCTCTGGATAAGAGCGTCTGCTAAATGACTTAAATGTAAACAGCCGTGGTGTGAAAGCCGTTGAGTCCAACAGAGGAAACAGCTGCTCCCCAGTTTTCAAGACTATTACTACAGCAGCTGCCAAACTCAGGAGACTACCTCAAGTTTTACTATGTAAAGTGCTTTGAGCTCTGGAAAAGTGCTATATAAATCCAAACAGGCCTATTATTCTTATTCTTAACTCATTCATGGACAGACAGGACCATCTTTCCCCATATAAATAGACTGCTATCAAATAATCTACATAACACACATTCAGAAATATTTGTTTACAATGTGTTTCACAACTTTTGGACTCCTTTGTGTTTCTCAAAGTATTTTGGGCTCCTGTGCTATCACTTGCATTCAATTCCTTTCAGGGCTGAACTGGAGGAATCTCCTCTGCAACCCCAGTTACCCGGGCAGCTGCTACTCAAACAACATCAAACCTGTTAACCTGTGGTAACCTGTGTCCATATAAGGCCATATCCTCTGGCATACAGCTCAAATGGCAGCTGATCACATTCAATATTCTTCTCTATTAGGGCGGGTCCTAAAGCAATCCCCAGTCTCCAGTGCTGTGATGGCTATATGTATTTCTGACACCCAATACTTCCATGACCATTCAGAAAGTTGCTGTTGGGCTTGTAAATAATGTTGTTATTGTTTACAACTTGTACTTCATCAACTAGCATCCCACTGGACACAAACGTCAGTTCAACATCTAGTTTAGTTAAACATTTTGGTTGAACTGTCAACTAATGTGAATTCAACAAAACATTTCACCATGTCATTGGATTCAGGTTAAAAGTTGGTTGAAAAAAAGACTAAATTCACTTACATTGATCACTTTTTGCAAATCCAATCAGTTTTCCACATTGATTCAACATCATCACATACAGTATATTTTTTGGGGGTTGAAATGACATGGAAACAACAAGTATTTGCCCAGTGGGATGGCATCTCATTGGAGTTCCAAAATAATAATTTATTTATTTGTCCAAAGGTTAAACTGATATTTTTAATTAGATGATAAGGGGGATGTAAAACTAGCTGAAACAGAAATGACCAATCAAAGAGTGGGCTATCAAAGACTGGGACCAATAACATGTAAACAAATGCATCCCAGGTTATTTTCACATGCAAATAGAATTTGCATTCAATTATACTGTATATCTGTAGTGCCTAATGAATTAGGAAGATTACATTTTAAAACATTATTTTAATATATACATAATTGTTGTCTAAAGTGATCTATGACAACAAAAACATGGAGTAGTAGGTTTTTCAATTATGATAATGTAAGAGAGTGGTACATTAAGGTACAAGTAAGAGATATTATTCTAAACCAAAAGGGGTGTATTCTATTAGTTAAAGGGGCTATCTGTGATTTTTGGACATTTAAGTTCATAATATATAGCCATTGATTCTCGAAGAACATACAGTATAAATGCCTCATGAGCTTAGTTCAACTGTCTAACTATTTCAAAACCCAAAATATAAGCTTGTTTTACTGCTTTGTTTGTAAACAATGCAATTGCAAACAAACAATGTATAGCCTCAAAACATGGATAAAACTATAATTGTAATATCATGGATGGTCAGTCCTTGCATCCATAGTTCTGTCTATGAATTTGTTGGTTAAGACAACATATAAAAAACGTTTTGGATTTCTCCAGGCCTATATCTCAGCTGTTTACCGGTGGCCACTTTGTTATTGTTTGAACTGCAGATTGCCCATTTAAAGTGAATGTCCTACACCTGTCTTCTGTACTCCACACTGCTGAAGCACCATGATCTACTATGTAGCACAGAGATCCGGTGCTGGCAAGCATAGTAAATTGTCCATATTAGTCGTCCCTACCTTCACACTACTGACATCAGTACTGTAATAAACTTGCGACTCATATATGTTGTCAGGAACATAATTGGGCCTCTTCCAGGTCCCTCAAAGGGTGCCAGGACTGTGTTATGAGTTTCAAATCCCAAGTTAGACTTTCACTGCAGGGACACGAATGGTGTAAATATTGTCATTATGAAATGCTGAGAGGCAACAAACTCATGCTGGCAGTTATGATAACACAATTTTTCTACCCCAATATAATTTCAATAATCCATTACTGTAATGGATCAAGATTTACTACGCTATTCCCCAAGGCTCCACTGCCAACATAGCTCAATATACTGCATGGATGGTTTACCTAGCTTACTCAATCACAACAAACAGTTGTTAGTAAGGCTTTGGCATAATGTTGATAGATAAAAAAATATACATATATTTAACTCATTATTATATTTGTCTTTTTGTGGTTGTGTTTGGTAGTAATTAGCTTACTACAGTAACATCTACAAATGTATGGCTAATGATTTATAAATGATGAACAACTATTAGCAATGATTTAATAAGGTACATTATTATAACACATTACCTTTATATGAAGTTAGCAAAATCCAATTCAGAGACAAATATCACAGAAATACATAGTGGCAATAGGAGTCAACCCCTAATTCTCTCCTCCAATCCACATCCTTGATCAGGAGAGCCATAATTAACTTCTGCTTGGTTAGCACTTGAAACTGTCAACCAGATAAATAGAGCCTCAGAGCAGCATCAATGACAGACAGCTTCTACCTCTGTGGTAAGACTATCTCCCTTTACACTTTTACACTGTTTATTCTAATATCTCGGCACCTGATAATGTAGTTGCATTGTCAAGTTGCAATCTGTTTTAAATGCCATTTATCTGTTGTGACAGGATGTGAAATGTGTTTTGTGCATGGAATGTGTTTTTAAGTGGATTGATTTGGGATGCCATTCAATGTTTTTTACAACTCTTCAGGTGGGATGAGACTAAGTGCCGGTAATGTGTGTTTAATCATGACACCTCAATGTCTTACAGAACCCTCTAACATACAATTTCATCTGGAAGAGGAAGACAAGGTAAGACATTGTTTGAGTCTTTCACTCAAATTGTTTCTATTGGAGTGTATTCTATGAGAGACACTGTTTTATTAACTACACAAGCTTACTACTTACCTAACTTTGTTGCTAATGTATAAAAGAATGAGCTACCAAACCCGCTCCCAGGATTGGTTAACTCTTGTGGTCTGTCTGGTCTCGACCAATTTAGGTAAATCCTCCTTATATGTTTCTTAGTGAGTTGCCACCATGAGTACCGACGCAGAGATGGCCTCTTATGGCAAAGCCGGTGTATACCTCCGTAAACCTGAGAAGGCGAGGATTGAGGCCCAAAGCAAGCCCTTCGATGCAAAGAACGCCTGCTATGTGACTGATGTTAAGGAGCTGTACCTCAAGGGTACCATTGTTGGCAGAGAAGGGGGAAAGGTCCAGGTGAAAGTCCTTGACACTGGCGAGGTAAGCCTACAACATAGGACAGAATTCAGTTTAAAGTTGAAGTTTGTTTATTCACAATTATCTTTCAAAGAAAAATTACTTCAGATGTAGGTTCTTTGATCACCCTGTTGCAGGATAACTTAAAACTTGTAGTGTATTTGAGGTTTAAAAGGGCTTCTGAATTTTATAATTTCAGACATAATAATTAAAATGTCCTGTTGCTGCAGGATTATTTTACTGCTGTAGCAAACTGGCTCAAATTAAGATCCTACATATGAACAGTAAAATGTATGACTGACTTGATGATTACAAAATCAAAGCAGTGTCGACACAGATTCAGTAACAGTTCTTCCAGTTAATCCAAGTGTAATGTAGATTACCGACTGCTTTTCAGACTAAAGACTTCAAAGAAGCTGATGTCTTCGAAATGAACCCCCCAAAGTTTGACATGATTGAGGACATGGCCATGATGACCTACCTCAATGAAGCCACTGTCCTGTATAACCTCAAAGAGCGTTATGCAGCATGGATGATCTACGTAAGAAACCTATTGTACATATAAATTATAGGTACATATACACACTCATAAGTGAACATAGGACACCACCGTATATGACACCTATATAGCCTATATAAGACACCAACATAACTCCAAAATGCACATGCTGTTTGTAATTGAAAAACACCTACGCAAAAATAATGTAACTGAATACAAGAAACACTTGTAAGTGTTCCATAGCAACTCAGACCTCAAACATCCTCACACAGGTCCATACAGTTAACAGAAAAGCTGATTTTGCTAATCCCCTAACTTCCCTTCATCCAGACCTACTCCGGGCTGTTCTGTGCCACAGTGAACCCCTACAAGTGGCTCCCCGTGTACGACGAGGAGGTTGTTAACGCTTACAGAGGAAAGAAGCGAATGGAGGCTCCACCCCATATCTTCTCTGTCTCTGACAGGGCCTATCAGTTCATGTTGACGGGTATGATCTTATACATGTGGATGGACGGATAAATAGAGGGAAGCTCACACAAACAGATATGGGCAGCCAAGACAGCTGGAAACATCCATGCAATCATTTTTTATTTATTTAGAACTAGTGAAAAGCGTGTGCAACACTATCCACAACTTTAAGACAATTGGCAAATGCCATAATGAATCAAAACTGGTTTATATTCATATTCTTTGTTGTTGTTTTTTTGCCTGCAGATAGGGAGAACCAGTCTATCCTGATTACGTAAGTTCTCTACTAACATCTAACATTATAGTTAGTTCGATATCATAACAATTATTAAGCGTATACATGAACTATAGTAAATGAGTAAACAACTCAAAGTGTACTTTTAAATGATTATGTTTTGAATGATGTCTGACACTGAAACATGTCACCAAAACCTCTTATTCTCTGTCACATAAACCAGTGGAGAATCTGGTGCAGGAAAGACTGTCAACACCAAGCGTGTCATCCAATACTTTGCCACTATCGCTGTGTCTGGAGGAGAAAGGAAGAGGGCGGCAGAACCCGGCAAAATGCAGGTACAGGTGTAGGATCTTAATTTGATAACCCTGTTGCAGGACAACTTTCAATGCAATGCAGGAAATGTAAAACTTGTAGTGTATTTTAGGTTTAAAAAGGCTTCTGAAGTTTGTAATTTCCACTTTCACATTTCAGACTGAACAAAAATATAAATGCAACATGCAACAATTTCAAAGATTTTACTGAGTTACAGTTCATATAAGGAAATCAGTCAATTGAAATAAATTCATTAGTCCCTAATCTATGGATTTCACATGACTGGGAATACAGATATGCATCTGTTGGTTACAGATACTGTACCTTAAAAAAAAGGTAGGGGCGTGGATCAGAAAACCAATCAGTATCTGGTGTAACCACCATTTGCCTCATGCAGCAAGACACATCTCCTTTGCATAGAGTCTATCAGGCTGTTTATTGTGGCCTGTGGAATGTTGTCCCACACCTCTTCAATGGTTGTGCGAAGTTGCTGGATATTGGCGGGAACTGGAACAAGCTGTCGTACACGTCAATCCAGAGCATCCTAAACATGGCACGACAATGGGCCTCAGGATCTCGTCACAGTTTCTCTGTGCATTCAAATTGCCATCGATTAAATTCAATTGTGTTGGTTGTCCGTAGCTTATGCCTACCAATACCATAACCCCACCGCCACCATGGGGCACTCTGTTCACAACGTTGACATCAAAAAACCGCTCGCCCACACGATGCCATAAACGTGGTCTGCGCTTGTGAGACTGGTTGGACGTACTGCCAAGTTCTTGGACGTACTGCCACATTTTTTGTGTATATGGAACAATTTTGGGAATTTTTATTTTAGCTCATGAAACATGGGACCAACACTTTACATGTTGCGTTTATATTTTTGTTCAGTGTATAATCCACAGAATACACATTTCCTGCAGCATTATTTTGCTGCTGTAGCAAACTTGCTCAAATTATGATCCTACATCTGTAGGCCAACCGTATATAACTGCTTATTTTAAGACAGTTCCACCACTGTTGAAGAAGGGTGTTCTACAGTACTGTATGCCATGCTGTTTCTGACCTACTTGTGTTTGTCTCCCTCAGGGGTCTCTTGAAGATCAGATTATTGCTGCCAACCCTCTGCTGGAGGCTTACGGTAATGCCAAGACAGTGAGGAATGACAACTCTTCTCGTTTTGTAAGTATGAGGGACACACTTGCCGTACTTAAATATTCCTTATTGATCTAGAAGGACAGAGATTGAGACCTATCCAGTCTTTCCAAATGTTAATGGGAAACGAAGGGTTAGAAAGAAAGGAAAGCTTTATTTTCAGAGTATTGAGATGGACACCTTGGCAGTTTCCTTTTGTTGACTCATTCCCTCATTTCTAACCCCCATGCTCTACTTTAGGGTAAATTCATCAGGATTCACTTCCACAGTAATGGCAAACTATCTAGTGCTGACATTGAGACCTGTAAGTTGGTTGGATTGTTTGTCGGATTATTAGTCATGAATGCACAATGTCCAAAATTCACAGAGATTATGTTTTAAGGAGACCAAGCACTGAACTTTATCTCCTGTTCTCTTTCAGACCTGCTGGAGAAGTCCAGAGTGACCTTCCAGCTGCCCGATGAGAGAAGCTACCACATATTCTACCAGATGATGACCAACCACAAGCCTGAGCTGATTGGTACGACAAAGTAGAAAGCGGTTTGACAATTCTTCTCATTTAGTTGACAGGGACATTGCACCTGAATCAACATATCAGTGTTCTCATTTCAATGTTGAAGTGCTACAGTGAGTTATAAAGCTCAGGGTTGTATTACTCATGACTACTGTAATATTTCAATATCAGATAATTGCCTAATTGAGTTAGAGTTCCATAAACAGGGAAAGGGAAAACCTAGTCAGTTGCAAAACCAAATGCATTCATCAGAAATGTGTCTTCCGCATTTAAGCCAACCCCTCTGAATCAGAGAGATGTGGGGGGATACCTTAATCGACGTCATCAGCGCCCGGGGAGCAGTTGTTGTTGGTGGTTAACTGCTTTGCTCAAGGACAAAACGGCAGATTCTTCCACCTTGCTGGCTCAGGGATTCGAACCAGCAACCTTTCGGTTATTGGCCCAATGTGTTTAACCGCTAGGCTACTTGCATGGAGAACTAGTGCACTCCAGTGGAAATTAAGGGGTAATATCAATCAAGCAATCCAAGACAAAGTGACAGTTCACCACTCAAATGCTGCCCTCATTTGATGACAAGTTAAATGGTACTGTGAAAGATGACACTTCCAGCCTCAGTGGGTTGGTGTCCCGTGAACCAATAAAGGTTCTTCCTGTAGTTTGTTGTACCTGTGAGTCATAAAGTCTGCTTCGTATTCCTGGGGTATAGTCTCCTAGGAAGAATAGGGAGGGGAAATTAAAAAATCCATATAGTTTCATTTGACTGCTCTATTTTTCACTGCATTACATTTGTATTTTGAGTTGCATTTGGCTCCCAATGCAGATACAGTACATCCTTTATGTCCGCACTTTCTAATCTTAATCTTAATCTCATGCAAGAGAGGAAAAGGTAGAGGAAAGCAAATTCCATCTGGTTTAACTGACTCTCTGTCCTGTTCTCCGTCCCCACAGAAATGACGCTCATCACCACCAACCCCTACGACTTCCCCATGATCAGCCAGGGGCAGATCAAAGTGGCCTCTATCGATGACAAAGAGGAGCTGGATGCCACAGACGTGAGTCTCACAAACTATATACAAGGATGAGTCACACCTCCATCCCCCACTGAATGCAATGCACAATTACTGTACATGTTATAACTTAACTCCAAGCGGTGCAGCCCCATGACAGTTTTGTCCAGTTTGAAACTCCCTGAACTTGTGATATCTGCTGTGTGTGCGTACACTAAGTTTAACTATGAAATTCCTGTCACTCAGGCCGCCATTGACATCCTGGGCTTCACTAATGATGAGAAGATGGGCATCTACAAACTGACCGGCGCTGTCATGCACCACGGCAATTTACGCTTCAAGCAGAAGCAGCGTGAAGAGCAGGCCGAGCCAGACGGCACAGAGGGTGAGTCCTCGCTCCAAACACAGGAATAGACCGAATGAAACTGGTTTCTCTGTCAGTAACACTACATTTGCCATCCTGTGTCCCTGTATATGAGTCTGCTGTTCTTTCTATCTACAGTAGCTGATAAAATCGGTTACCTCCTGGGTCTGAACTCAGCTGACATGCTGAAAGTTCTGTGCTACCCCAGAGTGAAGGTTGGCAATGAGTTTGTTACCAAGGGACAGACCGTGCCTCAGGTGAGACATCCAAGATTCAATAATTGCTACAACACCACTATTGATTTTATGTTTTGATTAATTTTTTTGAAGCTCAATACCAGCAAGGCATGATCAATGTCTCACATATTAACTGAAGGTATTGTTTTTGCACAGGTGTATAACTCTGTGAGCGCTCTGGCCAAGTCCATCTATGAGAGGATGTTCTTGTGGATGGTCATCCGTATCAACCAGATGTTGGACACCAAGCAACAAAGGAACTTCTACATCGGTGTGCTCGACATTGCTGGGTTTGAGATCTTTGATGTAAGTATGTGATCATTACAGAATAAACAGTTTATGGCTTTGAGGCCTTATGACAAAAGGTGATTGAACTAATCTTCTTTGAACGTCATTAACAGTTCAACACCATGGAGCAGCTGTGTATCAACTTCACAAATGAGAAACTGCAACAGTTCTTCAACCATCACATGTTTGTCCTGGAGCAAGAGGAGTACAAGAAGGAGGGAATCATCTGGGAGTTTATTGATTTCGGCATGGACTTGGCAGCCTGCATTGAGCTTATTGAGAAGGTAAGCAGACTGTAATCATTTTACTTAAGAATAATGTACTGTGGAATGGGCGACAACAGCAGAGTTGACAGGGACAGATGTTGGAGTTGAGAGTGAATTATTACCATTTTGGTACAAGATGGCTGCTACTAATCCTGCTGTTACATTTTTCATCAGCCAATGGGCATCTTCTCCATCCTTGAAGAGGAGTGCATGTTCCCCAAGGCTTCAGACACTTCCTTCAAGAACAAGCTGTATGACCAGCATATGGGCAAGAAAAACACTTTCCAGAAGCCCAAGCCTGTCAAGGGAAAGGCCGAGGCCCACTTCTCCCTGGTGCACTACGCTGGTATTGTGGATTACAACATCTGTGGCTGGCTGGACAAGAACAAGGACCCCCTGAACGACTCAGTGGTGCAGCTATACCAGAAGTCCTCAGTGAAACTGCTGGTTCTTATCTACGTTGATGCTCCAGCTGAAGGTCATTTAACATTGTTCAATAATATTTTTTGCCAATATTCCCGATATCAACATTACACAAACAATTTGGTAGCAGTTGCAAATATATTATCTCATAAATAAAATAGGGTGTTCACCATAGATGTCAATCACTCATGATTTTAGCTATTTTTACAGACAGAGCATCCAAGAAGGGAGGCAAGAAGAAGGGAGGCTCCATGCAGACGGTGTCCTCCCAGTTCAGGGTGAGCTTCTCAAACTTGTATTCAAAGTTATCTGGTTAAAACCTATCTGGTCAACATTTTTAATGTACCTTAAGGTGCGTTCATTTGTATTAATAATTCTGAGACGGCTGTTTGATGTGTCCCCGCTCTGCAGGAGAACTTGGGCAAGCTGATGACCAACTTGAGGAGCACTCACCCTCACTTTGTGCGCTGTCTGATCCCCAATGAGTCAAAGACTCCAGGTACAAGAAACATCCAGTGAAATACTAAATTGTAACCCTATGGTTTATCAGCTAGTGACATTCAGTATCCTAAAACAAAATAAGCACTAAGTAACTACCTATACTTACATGTGGTACAAGATAGCTGATTATAAGTTATTCCCATATATTTACCCAGAAATAATGGCACATACATCACCACAATGTAATTGTAGCCCTTCAAATGTTTGTGTTTATTGGCTTTAATGATACATTGTGTTTTTCCAGGTCTGATGGAGAACTTCCTGGTTATCCACCAGCTAAGGTGTAACGGTGTACTGGAGGGTATCAGGATCTGTAGAAAGGGGTTCCCCAGCAGAATCCCCTACGGTGACTTCAAGCAGAGGTACCCTTTAGAGATGTGACCTATCTAACATGGCTCCATGTTTACTTTAGAATAGAACTGAATTTGACCAAATAATAAGAAACTCCGAAATTCTTACATTCTGAGATCTTATAAGATGACATTCTGAAATCTTAAAAGATTACATTCTGAAATCTTAAAAGATTACATTCTGAGATCTTATAAATACAGACGAAACAACGTTTGGCATCGAGTGGCCTATGCTAGAAAAATTTAAAAGAAGAAGAATGGCTAAAATCGTTCAGCAGATTTCATAAACTATGACACAGCAACAGAATATCCTTGTTTGCTCACAATTTAAAAACTGACAGTTGCCTGTCTCTCCTAATCCAGGTACAAAGTACTGAATCCCAGTGTTATCCCAGAAGGCACATTCATGGACAACAAGAAGGCTTCTGAGAAGCTGCTTGGGTCAATCGATGTGGAGCACGAGCAGTACAAATTTGGACACACCAAGGTCAGGGTCAAATACACTCAGGAAAAGCAAACACAAAACATAAGTAAAACAACAATGTAAATGCTAACCACTCACAGCCTTTTTACAATAAATATTGTCGTGTTGATCCCTCATTTAAATTCAACCCTGTTCTATGCGTTCTGACTTCTGATGACATCCATTGATAATGTTGACCTATTCTCAGGTGTTCTTAGTTCTTACTGGTGTCTCAGGCATTTACCTTCCTGTTACATACGCTCAGGTGTTCTTCAAAGCTGGCCTGCTGGGTGTCCTGGAAGAGATGCGAGATGAGAGGCTGGCCTCTCTGGTCTGCATGATACAGTCTCTGTGTCGTGGGTTCGTCATGAGGAAGGAGTTTGTGAAGATGATGGAGCGGAGGTGAGGGATAGAAGATATCTCAAGGATCAAGGCTCACCCACATTCATCTAACAGGGTTGCAGTGGTTTCCATTTAATCTCCAACGACTCCAGGGATCAAACTGAACATGTTATATTCACCTTAAATTTACAAATGTTATACTTTTTTTGATTAATTAATTGAATTTCACTTTATTTTTTCTGAGGAGCTGTAACTTTGTCCTGTAAATAACATATTACTATTATTTAGCCATAACACTCACCAAGATCCCTGTTTCCTGTTGTTCAGAGAGGCCGTCTTCACCATCAAATACAACATTCGCTCATTCATGAATGTTAAACACTGGCCATGGATGAAGGTGTATTACAAGATCAAGCCACTGCTGAAGAGTGCTGAAACTGAGAAGGAGCTAGCCAACATGAAGGAGGACAATGAGAAGTGCAAAATCGCCCTGACCAAGGCTGAGGCCCGCAAGACGGAGCTTGAGGAGAAGATGGTGACCGTTCTGCAGGAGAAGAATGACCTGACGCTCCAAGTTGCATCTGTGAGCATCTGTCAAGTGCCTGGCTTGATTACCCATATTATATTGAAAACAATGGACAGGAGGTGTGCACTGACTAAATTAATGTCTGCCTATGTTTCTATCATTGTGAAACCAGGAATCAGAGAATCTGACCGATGCTGAGGAGAGGTGCGAGGGGCTGATCAAGAGCAAGATCCAGCTGGAGGCCAAACTCAAAGAGACGACCGAAAGGCTGGAGGACGAGGAGGAAATGAATGCTGAGCTGACCTCCAAGAAGAGGAAGCTGGAGGATGAGTGTTCGGAGTTGAAGAAGGACATTGATGACCTGGAGCTCACCCTGGCCAAAGTGGAAAAGGAGAAACACGCCACTGAAAACAAGGTCTAAAATGTTGACATAGCTGAACAATAGTAGAATCAACCCAAAGCTAAACAATGATTGAAACTAACCACACAACTTACATACAAATGTTGTTGTGGCTGTGTTCAGGTCAAAAATCTGACTGAGGAGATGGCCTCTCAAGATGAGAGCGTTGCCAAAGCTGACCAAGGAGAAGAAAGCCCTCCAAGAGGCCCACCAGCAGACACTGGACGACTTGCAGGCAGAGGAGGACAAAGTCAACACTCTGACCAAGGCCAAGACCAAGCTGGAACAGCAAGTTGATGACGTGAGTGGAGTCAGACTTTATCGAGTCATGGATTTATATATTGTTAGATTAAACATTTAGCTAGGCCATGGCATAATCATTGATTGTTTAAAATTAACTGACACAAGTATCTTAACATGTAGCTTGAGGGTTCTCTGGAGCAAGAGAAGAGGCTCCGTATGGACTTTGAGAGAGCCAAGAGAAAGCTGGAGGGAGACCTGAGACTGGCCCAGGAATCCATAATGGACCTGGAGAATGACAAGCAGCAGTCTGAAGAAAAGATCAAAAAGTACATTTAAAAAAATAGTTTTGTGTAGTTAGGACTTTGAAAGACTCTTTTAAATACAAAGTGACTGCTGTGTACTGATGCATTTATGTTCCCATAGGAAGGATTTTGAGACCAGCCAGCTCCTCAGCATGATTGAGGATGAGCAGTCTCTGGGCGGTCAGCTGCAGAAGAAAATCAAGGAACTCCAGGTACAGTACAGTATCTAACCCCGGCTTCAGTATAGTATTCCATATAATACTAGATGTTCTAGATACTAGATGTTCTAGATACTACATGTTCTAGATACTAGATGTCAGTCTTACTCATTTAGCAACATTCTGTTGTTGTAATAAAGCAACAATAAAACATAGTATAAATACACAACTATCCAGGCTATTTATTTTTGCAAGGTCAGTTTAAATTTCCCCATCCTAACCCCCCTCCCTTGCTTTAGGCTCGTATTGAGGAGCTGGAGGAGGATATTGAGGCTGAGCATTCTGCCAGGGCAAAGGTTGAGAAGCAGAGGGCCGATCTCTCCAGGGAACTTGAGGAGATCAGTGATAGGCTGGAGGAAGCTGGAGGTGCCACTGCCACTCAGATCGAGATGAACAAGAAGCGCGAGGCTGAGTTCCAGAAACTGAGACGCGACCTTGAGGAGTCGACCCTGCAGCACGAGGCCACAGCCGCAGTCCTGAGGAAGAAGCAGGCTGATAGTGTGGCGGAGCTCGGAGAGCAGATTGACAACCTGCAGCGTGTCAAGCAGAAGCTGGAGAAGGAGAAGAGCGAGTACAAGATGGAGATTGACGACCTCTCCAGCAACATGGAGGCTGTCGCCAAGACTAAGGTGGGCATTTGAATCAAACCCTAAATACTCAACATTAATGGATGAATGGAATGCTGCGAGACAGCAGCATGGCGTCAAGCTCTAAAGTTGGACACATTTGTAAGCGTACTACAGCTTCAATTTAGTGGGTTAATCCTATAGACATAGAGGGTAATGCAATTACCTCAAAGGTGAAGGGCTGGAGTAGCATCACTGTCAAATTACTATCTACAAAACCCTACTGCAAGACAGCAATGTACAGTCGTGGTCTAAGGTTTTGAGAATGACACAAGTATTGGTCTTCACAAAGTTTGCTGCTTCAGTTTTTTTGATATTTTAGTCAGATGTTACTATGGTATACTGAAGTATAATTACAAGCATTCCATGAGTGTCAAAGGCTTTTATTGACAATTACATTAAGTTTATGCAAAGAGTCAATATTTGCAGTGTTGACCCTTCTTTTTCAAGACCTCTGCAATCCGCCCTGGCATGCTGTCAATTAACTTCTGGGCCACATCCTGACTGATGGCAGCCCATTTTTGCATAATCAATGCTTGGAGTTTGTCAGAATTTGTGGGTTTTTGTTTATCCACCCGCCTCTTGAGGATTGACCACAAGTTCTCAATGGGATTAAATGTCGATGTTTTGTTCCCCGAGCCACTTAGTTATCACTTTTGCCTTATGGCAAGGTGCTCCATCATGCTGGAAAAGGCATTGGTCGTCACCAAACTGTTCTTGGATGGTTGGGAGAAGTTGCTCTCGGAGGATGTGTTGGTACCATTCTTTATTCATGGCTGTGTTCTTAGGCAAAATTGTGAGTGAGCCCACTCCCTTGGCTGAGAAGCAACCCCACACATGAATGGTCTCAGGATGCTTTACTGTTGGCATGACACAGGACTGATGGTAGCGCTCACCTTGTCTTCTCCGGACAAGCTTTTTTCCGGATGCCCCAAACAATCGGAAAGGGGATTCATCAGGGAAAATGACTTTACCCCAGTCCTCAGCAGTCCAATCCCTGTACCTTTTGCAGAATATCAATCTGTCCCTGATGTTTTTCCTGGAGAGAAGTGGCTTCCTCGCTGCCCTTCTTGACACCAGGCCATCCTCCAAAAGTCTTTGCCTCACTGTGCATGCAGATGCACTCCCACCTGCCTGCTGCCATTCCTGAGAAAGCTCTGCCCTGGTGGTGCCCCAATCCTGCAGCTGAATCAACTTTAGGAGATGGTCCTGGTGCTTGCTGGACCTTCTTGGGTGCCCTGAAGCCTTCTTCACAACAATTGAACCTCTCTCCTTGATGTTCTTGATAATCCGATAAATGGTTGATTTAGGTGCAATCTTACTAGCAGCAATATCGTTGCCTGTGAAGCACTTTTTGTGCAAAGCAATGATGACGGCATGTGTTTCCTTGCAGGTAACCATGGTTAACAGAGGAAGAACAATGATTTCAAGCACCACCCTCCTTTTAAAGCTTCCAGTCTGTTATTCTAACTCAATCAGCATGACAGAGTGATCTCCAGCCTTGTCCTTGTCAACACTCTCACCTGTGTAAACGAGAGAATCACTGACATGATGTCAGCTGGTCCTTTTCTGGCAGGGCTGAAATGCAGTAGAAATGTTATTTTGGGATTAAGTTCATTTTTATGGCAAAGAGGGACTTTGCAATTAATTGCAATTCATCTGATCACTCTCCATAACATTCTGGAGTATATGCAAATTGCCATCATAAAAACTGAGGCAGCAGACTTTGTGAAAATTAATATTTGTGTCATTCTCAAAACTTTTGACCACGACTGTATACAAGCTGTACACCATAAGAATGTTAAATAAAGATGACCTATCTATATTTCACTAACAGGTCAATCTGGAGAAGATGTGCCGTACTATTGAGGATCAGCTGAGTGAGCTCAAGACTGGGAACAACGAGAATCTTCGCCAGATCAACGACATCAGTGGACAGAGGGCCAGACTCTTGACTGAGAACGGTACCCACAACAATGACCAACACATTTACCATACATAATCTAAATCAGTACCCAACAACATGTGTTAGGGGCTATTGTACAAGGCTACAGTATTTTTAAGAACAGAAGAATTTACAATGTGTACTCTCATCCCTTGCAGGTGAGTTTGGACGCCAGCTGGAAGAGAAGGAAGCTCTGGTGTTTCAGCTGACCAGAGGCAAGCAGGCCTTCACCCAACAGGTGGAGGAGCTAAAGAGGCAGATTGAGGAGGAGGTCAAGGTAAGGGAGTCAAAATGCTCTACCAAGCACAGAGTATAGAGTCAAATGCCTCTTGTCATGTTTATCATAACTAAACCATCCTCAGAAATGTATTACTGTAACCGGTTTTGCTATCTCTCACTCAGGCTAAGAATGCCTTGGCCCATGGTGTCCAGTCTGCCCGCCATGACTGTGACCTTCTGAGGGAGCAGTTTGAGTTGGAGCAAGAGGCCAAGGCAGAACTGCAACGCTGCATGTCTAAGGCCAACAGTGAGGTGGCTCAGTGGAGGACCAAGTATGAGACGGATGCCATCCAGCGCACAGAGGAGCTTGAGGAGGCCAAGTAAGCAGTTACACTTGAAAATAAACCTCTCATTATAACTATGATCCTAAATGTGCGCATCTTCACACCTTCCTAATTTCACTTCATTATGAGGCACCATGTTTATATGATACGTTTGTCTGAATACAGTACCAGTGGAAGCATTAAAAGATTAACTATTTCCTGTCTAACAGGAAGAAGCTGGCGCAGCGTCTGCAGGACGCTGAGGAAATGATTGAGGCAACCAACTCAAAGTGTGCTTCGCTGGAGAAGACCAAGCAAAGGCTGCTGGGAGAGGTGGAGGATATCATGATTGATGTAGAGAGGGCCAACGCTATGGCTGGCAACCTTGACAAGAAGCAGAGGAACTTCGACAAGGTGAAAAAGAACACTTTACACACTATACTGACTTTTGAAATGTGCTATTAAATGGACTGGCAAAATTAATAGCAACAACACGTTTTATTTTCTTTCTGATAGGCATTATCAGTATGTGTCTCCAGTGATCATAATGTATTATGGCTTATTTCTGATTAGAAGTAAAAGCCACATCAAGAATAAACCATTAAATCACATACAATCCCATAGGTTCTGGCTGAGTGGAAGCAGAAGTATGAGGAGGGTCAGGCTGAACTGGAAGGAGCTCAGAAGGAGGCTCGCTCTATGAGCACAGAGCTCTTCAAGATGAAGAACTCCTACGAGGAGGCTCTGGATCAGCTGGAGACTCTGAAAAGAGAGAACAAGAACCTCCAACGTGAGTAAACAGCAGGAGTTGTTTATTTGGCACATTTGGAGTGTACAGTTTTCAATATCACTTTTTGTATTGTTATCAGTTATAGCTGTATTCTTTTGAAACATCTATGGTCGTAAAAGGCTTTTATGCAAAGCTGTATGATATTTGGTAATATTCACTGAAAATCTCCCTGTTCTAAACCATTTCTCTGTGTTTGTGCAGAAGAGATCTCTGACCTGACTGAACAGATCGGAGAGACTAGCAAGAGTATCCATGAGCTGGAAAAGTCCAAGAAGACTGTGGAGACTGAGAATTCTGAGATCCAGACCGCTCTGGAGGAGGCTGAAGTGAGCAGATATAATACATCCTTATGTAGTAGAATACATTTAACAGAATGAGAGCTACAGTGCTGTTCAGTACTCCTGTATTGGTACTTATTGCAGTAATATAGCTTACAGTTCTTCACTAGGTGGTGCACTCCTTGGAATAGCGGACGTGTATAAAGATGGTGGTCTCCATGTAGTTACCACAAATGCCAAATTAGCAATACGACTGATAAATAGCTAACAAATTTAGCTACACGGACTATCTGAGTTAACCTTGTATCTTTACTGACCTTTTATTTCAATCTTTGCACTGTCTCTATGCACACTCACAGGGCCCTACACACTCTCACACACTGTCATTCCAACACACACACAAACACTCACTCCATCATCTGCTCACTCACACATAATATGCACATACATTTATACTGACTCTACACACCCGCACACCCACTCACATACAAGCTGCTGCTACTCTGTTTATCTTGTTGCCTAGTCACCTTACCCCTATACATATCTACCTCCATCACACCAGTATCCCTGCACATGTAAATATGGTAATGAAACTGACTTTTTAAATATTTCCTGTATATAATTTAGTATGCTTACTTACTTATTTACTTTATTGTGTATTTCAGATTTCCTATTCTTATTTCTCGCGTGTTTTTTCTAGTAATACATTGTTATTGATTATTGCATTGTTGGGTTTTGAGTTAGCAAGAAAGGAATTTCACTGTACTTGTGCATGTGACATTGAAACTTGAAACATTAGCACAGTATACATGATCCCGATTCTAGCTCCCAGACACCGCCATATATACAAATTTAAAAAAAGTAGAATGTGTTGATTTATTGGCGCATTGAACCATGTTGTGTGCCATAGTTTAAAAACTAGGATTGTAGTGTTAAAACAATGAAGTCATATCTGTGTTCTGCCATCTTTATGCACATTCGCCATTGCGAAGAGTGGGAACTTTTCGATTTATACAACTGCCTTAGGTCTTATAAACACAATAGTGAGAGAGCCAATTGTTACTTTTAGCTGTCTCCAAGTCTTATAATGTTCTAATTGCTGGGATGATCTCCTATGTTAAGCATTCTGTGACAAATCACTTTTATTCTTCCAGGGAACACTGGAGCACGAGGAATCCAAGATTCTGCGTGTGCAGCTGGAGCTGAACCAGATCAAGGGTGAGGTGGACAGGAAGCTGGCAGAGAAGGACGAGGAGATGGAGCAGATCAAGAGGAACAGCCAGAGGATTATAGAATCTATGCAGAACACACTGGACTCTGAGGTCCGCAGCAGGAACGACGCCCTGAGGGTGAAGAAGAAGATGGACGGAGACCTGAACGAGATGGAGATCCAGCTGAGCCACGCCAATAGGCAGGCCGCTGAGGCCACGAAACAGCTGAGGAATATCCAGGGACAACTCAAGGTAAAAGATGCCAAAACTTCCAGTTAAACACCAAAAAATGTGACTGATTTTGTTTTGGTCAAAGACTAATCAAGTGATGTAATAAAGCAGAAAAGCAGGTACATCAGTCCCATTCTTCATAAAGACAACACTCACACATCCTAATACTCTGTTGTTTTGAATTCCAGGATGCCCAATTGCACCTTGATGACGCTGTCCGTGCGTCAGAAGACATGAAGGAGCAGGCCGCCATGGTGGAACGCAGGAACGGTCTGATGATGGCAGAGATTGAGGAGCTGAGGGCTGCTCTGGAGCAGACTGAGAGAGGCCGCAAAGTTGCTGAGCAAGAGCTGGTGGACGCCAGTGAGCGTGTGGGACTGCTCCACTCTCAGGTACGGGTCTGGTCACTGACCAGACAACTTTTAGATTGTGGGTATTATGTGTTGTGGCGTACAGCAGGTCAGACACCAGGGGGAGACTCGTCGAGGCCTGGTAACAGATGGAGTATACAGCACGAGGCGGTGGCTCCATCTGCTGGACGTGCCAGGTCTCGATGGGCTCCCCGGACAGGACTAATTGGGGCTGATTGGGAGCTGGTGAGTAATTAAGGGCGGATTGCTCACCAGCTGTGCAAGGCCCATAAAGCTGCCAGAAGGGCAGCACATGGGAGAGGACTGGGGGAAGTAAGGTAACTTTTGTGTAGTTGGAGATGGTATACTAGAGATGGTCTCATGGGGGAGACCTACCCTTTTCTTTTGATTATTCTATTAATAAACACCCTTGAAACTGAGCTAATCATACTCTGTCCGTTCTGATCTGTGTACACGTCTTGACCCAACCCCCTGATCTGCCACAGTGTATTGTTGTGAATTGTTGATATTACTGCACTGTTGGAGCTAGAAACACAAGCATTTCACTACACCCGCAATAACATCTGCTAAACATGTGTATATGACCAATACAATTTGATTTGATTTTAAAAATTTTCATTTACATTTTAGTCATTTAGCAGACGCTCTTATCCAGAGCGACTTACAGTTAGTGAGTGCATTCATTTTTCATACTGATGATATGATATGAGATGAGTATGCCTAGAAAGCTGTGCTACTATGGCTGACTCTTTAAAACAACACATTTCACAGCACTTATCCAGTGTATGTGACAACATTAATAAGGTAAAGAGGGACTAGACAGTGATTTCATTAATCTCACGCTTTTTCAGGGAGTATATCTGCACTGGGGGAGCCAAATGGAACTTCCACTTAATGGAACCAAAGAAAAAAGTTGTCTCCCACGTGCCTTTCATGTCAAAATCTTTGTCTTATCCAACTTTTTATTTATTTATTTTAATTTTTTTTTGGGGGGGGGAATGGATCAGCTTAATATTGCAGATAGATTGTATCTTCTATCAATGTAATTGTCTGCATCACTTCCAATCCCCCATGTTTTTTTAAAATATATATACTCCCCTTTATTACTTTGTCTTATCCTACTTTAGCTCATTCTAGACATACATTCATGCCATCTCAGATGCTATAGCATACTTTATAAAGTACATAAAAGGAAATAAATTACCTAAATACTTGATTAAAAGCCAGTTTTTCATATTTTTTAACAATATTAACATTGAAGGTTGTGGCGATTGATTTCTATAATTTCCATGGTGTGACTGGTATATTGTCTTGCGATAAGGCAATTCAGCCAATCTTTGATTGATCTATACTTCTTCCTCCAGAACACCAACCTTCTGAACACTAAGAAGAAGCTGGAGGCTGACCTGGTGCAGGTGCAGGGTGAGGTGGACGACATTGTCCAGGAGGCCAGAAACGCAGAAGAGAAGGCCAAGAAGGCTATCACTGATGTGAGTCCGTATGTTTGGCCAAAACACAGTACAAGGCCTCCAGGCTAACCACATGAAAGTGTTTGATCTGTACCAAATCCTAGCTATATCAGTTTTGTCATAAGATTTTATGAGTATAACAGTTAATAACAACAGAATAACTAAGTCAAGAAAAAACAGGAAAGCCTGTCTGTGTTGCCATAAGGTCTCACCTTCATTAAACCTATTTAATGATATTTCAGGCGGCCATGATGGCTGAGGAGCTGAAGAAGGAGCAGGACACCAGCGCTCACCTGGAGAGGATGAAGAAGAACCTGGAGGTCACAATCAAGGACCTGCAGCACCGTCTGGATGAGGCAGAGAATCTGGCCATGAAGGGTGGCAAGAAGCAGCTCCAGAAACTGGAGACAAGGGTGTGTTGTTCAGGCATTTAGAAGATGGGGTAAACAATTTGCTTTCAATAACCCACGTGGATAATGATGATGTCATTATCATTATAAACTCTCCTATGAAATTTACAAAAAGGACAAAGGAAGAGAAGAAGACTATGTGATAGTCTGTATTAACTTTCGTGAACACCATTTCTTTACATTAGCCTGGAGGAATCTACCTCTATTTATTTGCAATGATTTAAAACTGATTCCACCTCATAAAAAACATGACAATTTCATCCGTGAAGGTACGTGAGCTGGAGGCTGAGGTGGAGTCCGAGCAGAGAAGAGGTGTAGATGCAGTTAAGGGAGTCCGCAAGTACGAGCGCAGAGTCAAGGAGCTCACTTACCAGGTAAGAAAAGCACCTTAACACACAGTAATACAGACAGATGTATGTGTATGAACGGATGAACACTGATACATCTACTTTCTCCCACAGACTGAGGAGGATAATAAGAATGTTACCAGACTTCAGGATCTGGTAGAAAAGCTGCAGCTTAAAGTGAAGGCATACAAGAGGCAGGCTGAGGAAGCGGTGAGTTAGGTCTAAAATTAGTAGCAAGTATAATGGTCTTAGCCTGTATTAAGTTGTGTAGTGAACTTGCCCATAGCAAGCAATGCATGAAACAAATATGCCATCCTGAATAAACCACTGATGTTGATCTGTGTCCCTTCTCCCAGGAGGAACAAGCCAATCAGCACATGTCTAAGTTCCGTAAGGTTCAGCATGAGCTGGAGGAGGCTGAGGAACGCGCTGACATTGCAGAGTCCCAGGTCAACAAGCTCAGAGTCAAGAGCCGTGACGCCGGAAAGGTAAAGATCTGCTTTTAAACCTACACCTGAATTATGTTCAAGTAAGACTTCGTCATCATCATCAATAAAGGCTTTCACAGACTCAGATTAAACCTAATTCAAAACAAATAATAATTTGGCTGCATAAACATGGCCAAAATCATTATTGGACCCAGTTAAAGGAACTACATATAACAATTCCACCTGTCAATTACAATAGAAATCCACAAGCACAAAACATACTTTTTAGAATGCCACGTAGCACTTTTACAGCTAATTAGCATTTTTACTATGACTAGCTGGTCCGGCTTTTGTTGTGTACAATTTACCGAATTACGATTGGTTATCATTTGAGACGTTGACAACAACAGCTAAAACATTAGCAGTACAAAACTTCTTAACGTCCCTGCAACTGATGTTTTTTGGATTATGATCATGGAGAAGCGGTACTAAGCCATTCTAGGCGTTTCTAAGCAATGTTCTTTAAAAAAAATACATGAATAAATCGAATTTAAGGTTAATGTTTAATGTTGTTCCTTTAATCTTCATTTTAAAAGATCAGAGGCATTTCATCCCAAGTACATTTTAATATAACCACAACTTTAGTTCTTGGCGATCTAGACCCCAGAACTGGATATACTCATTAATATCTTTTACTTTCTCTTACAGGCTAAAGAAGAATAAACTTTTTTATTTTAAATTGAGAACTTGGACTGAACAATTCTTACAACAGTCTTACATTATTCTAGCTATTGCAAGGCAGAGAAACCAGGCCAGGGGCTGGGTGGTCAGTGAAGGCACTGCTTTTTCCTGCTTTTTTCCCCCTTGTCATTTGCTTTTTGTGTTGTTTTGTTGTCCATTTTGTTTTGATGCATGTTGTTGTTGTTGTCTTGTGTGTAAAAGGGGGAGCCCACAAATTGTTTTGTGCACTTGTTTACACTGTTGCATACTCCTTAATAAAACATATTGAAACGTAGAAACATCTGTACAGTAGTCTTGGTGACTTTGTGAATTCAATGCTGTACACATAAAACATTACTATTACATGCCGTGAAAAGCTCCATACACGAGGTAGGCTATACAAAAAGTGTTCAATTAACATATTACACAACTAGGAAACATCTTAGAAATGTAGGCCTATAAAGACATTCAGTACTATCCCAAAACTGTGATGTAACAGTTAGATTAGATTCAAGCACTGACTCCACACTGTTCTGAAGGCACATTATAATTGTAATATTTAAGTGATAATGCCTGAGAAGCTGGTGTTTGGAGGATATATTGGCACGGGTGTTGCAGTATATCCTATTTTTTGTCATTAAGTGTGATTTAGCTTTTCTGTAACCGAATCAACTGCAGTTATGTGAGATTTGTCAAACACATTCAACAGGTTCAACATCATTAATTTGCTTACGGTTCAGAATACATTTATTTTAATTTTTTTATTGAGTAATGTTATGCTTACACACATTTACCAGTTGCTTGAAGTTGAAACGTTATAGAACTTGTTAGCACATAATAAATAATTACGCAGACATATTGCCACATATTGCTAGTATTTCCACAATGCTACACACATAGTAAAGACCTCAGTCATATTGGGGCATCTATAAACAGAATCCTGAGCAAAAAGGGCTAAAGATTTAGTAACAGTCAAAACAACATGGCACATGGGGACTCCATGGAAACGTAGGGGACTCAATGGATCCTAAAACCTGAAAAGATTTATCCTTCAGCATTGACATTTTCATAGCTTCTGATTCAGCTGTCAAAGTGTCAGGAATCTAAATGGGAAGACAGTTGAAGGATCTGAAAAAATAAGAATTTGAATTGAGAACTTGCACTGAACAATTCTTACATTCTTACAACAGTCCTACATTATTCTAGCTACTACAAGGCAGAGGAACCAGGCCAATGCAATGCAGGGCAACCTTATTAGATAACGGCAACTGCACAATTTCACAGCCTGTGACAACGTTACTGATCTCAGTGTTATTATGATAGATGTTACAGTCCCTCAGGGTTTAGTTCTATGGGTCTGTTGTTGTGATGAATTGCAGATCTAAATAGCCTGTTAGAGGCTGTTACCTTCACTCCTTTAGTGAAAGCCTTGGTATCCACAGTGTCCCACAGAGGCACCAGCTGCTCCCCAGTGATCAATCCAATACAGCAGCTTCCAAACTAAGTGCCCAACCCTGCTGCTTAATAACTAGTCTAATTCATGGACCTACAGGAGCATTTTACATTGATTCAAGCAATGTTACATGTTATCCACTGCACTTTGATTTAAAGTAATGTGTTTTACTTGTAAATCAAATATATGAATTTATTTTTAAAGTTAAAATTCAAAATTCACTGTCAATCTATGACATCTCACATTCCAAATAAAACGTTCATGTTAATAGTTTGAATCATGCCACCACCAAACACAAATGAAAGCCATTACATTAGGTCCATTGGGCACACTCATGATGACAGTTGTGGTAAAACTACTTTGCAACATAAATCATTCTTACTGGATCAAGTCCCTCTCTGCCATAATGCCACTGCCAAAATACTGCATACGATCATATACTCGATGACAGTCCATGACGGTTTAGCTACTCAATGACAGAAAGCACGTAACACTATGGCCAGAATTCAACCGTCGCAGTATGTGTACTCAAGGAGAGCTTAGTGAAACATTTAAAGAGTGAATGACAAGTTGTGTGAAATGTAAGCTAAATCATTGACCATTTAAATACTGTAACTTCAGTGATCCAATGCCATAAACCCTTTGCATTGCCTGCATGGTGAACACACACTCTACCCATAAACACTAAGTGAGTCCCAGTTGTAATTTTAGCATGAAGTAAGATGTCATCACATCATAAATGCTGGTGACATGAAGGAATTTGTTTATTTATGATAACTATTCCCTGTGAGTTATGTTTGGATTATATTGAAGCCTGCTGCGCTGTAAAGATCTGAGTGCTTTCAGAAAGTATTCACACCCCTTGGCTTTTTCCACATTTTGTTGTGTTACAGCCTGAATTTAAAATTGATTAAATTGAGATTGTGTGTTACTGGCCTACACACAATACCCCATAATGTCAAAGTGGAATTATGTTTTTAGAAATGTTTTCAAATTAATAAAAAATGTAAAGCTGAAATGTCTGGAGTCAATACAAAACCCCATAACAAAACCCCTTTGTTATGGCAAGCCTAAATAAGTTCAGGAGTAATACGTTGCTTAACAAGTCACATAATAAGTTGCATGGACTCACTCTGTGTGCAATAATAGTGGTTAACATGATTTTTGAATGACTACCTCATCTCTGTACCCCAGACACACAATTATCTATAAGGTCCCTTAGTTGAGCAGTGAATTTCAAACACAGATTCAACCACAAAGACCAGGGAGGTTTTTCAATGCCTCGCAAAGAAGGGCACCTATTGGTAGATGGGTAAAAAATAAAAATACAGACATTGAATATCCCTTTGAGTGTTGTGAAGTTATTCATTACAATTTGCATGCTGTATCAATACACCCAGTCACTACAAAGATACAGGCGTCCTTTCTAACTCAGTTGCCAGAGAGGAAGGAAACCGCTAAGGGATTTCACCATGAGGCCAATGGTGACTTTAAAACAGTTACATAGTTTAATGGCTGTGATAGGAGACAACTGAGGATGGATCAACAACACTGTACAGAACAAAAATATTCCAAAACATGCATCCTGTAACACTAAAGTAACACACATTTGGCAAAGAAATTAACTTTTATATCCTGAATACAAAGCTTTATGTTTGGGGCAAATCCAACACAACACATCACTGAGTACCACTCTTCATATTTTCAAGCATGGTGGTGGTGGCATCATGTTATGGGTATGCTTGTCATCGGCAACGACTAGGGAGTTTTTGGGGGATAAAAATAAATGGAATAGAGCTAAGCACAGGCAAAATCCTAGAGGACAACCTGGTTCAGTCTGCTTTCCAACAGACACTATGAGACAAATTCACCTTTCAGCAGAATAATAACCTAAAACACAACGCTAAATATACACTGGAGTTGCTTACCAAAACGTCATTGAATGTTCCTGAGTGGCCTAATTACAGTTTTGACTTAAATTGGCTTGAAAATCTATGGCAAGACTTGAAAATGGCTGTCTAGCAATGATCAGACTTGACAGAGCTTGATAAAAGTTTTTATTAATAATGTGCAAATATTGTACAATCCAGAAGTGCAAAGCTCTTAGATATTTACCCAGAAAGACTCACAGCTGTAATCGCTGCTAAAGGTGATTCTAACATGTATTGACTCAGGGGTGTGAATGCTTATGTAAATTAAATATTTATGTATTTCATTTTCAAAAAATTCCTAAAAACATGTTTCACTTTGTCATTATTGGGCTTGGGTTTAACCCTTGGCCTACAATGGTCGCGCCCCGCGGAAATCGAATTAACATAATAAAAAGATCCACATCAAAATCCGTCTGTTTAACGCCTTGATCACACCGATAGGTTTTTGCCGCAAAATAGTGCGCAGCATCATCTGGATATGTGTACAACAAAAGTTCAACATTCACCTTCTGCTACCATTTCTGTCAAACTGTATGCTACTCATACAGTTTGAGGCATATGTTCGATAAATCCAACATATGCACCACACAGAACGCACTGCAACTTCCTCCGCAACGCAATGCTGCAAGGCAAACGCAACGATCCATTGGAAATTAATGTATTTCTTGTGTACCAAAATGCAATGACGATGTAGCTGTGATCGAGGCGAAAGCTAGAGATATGTGTTTTTTTGTATGGACTGCCCCTTCCGCGGTGAAAGGTGGCAGAGACATCCCGAAATTCGGTCTTCTCAAGAAACTTCTGTTGCATTCGAACGTTTGGTCTACAAATTGTTATGACCAATCTAGCTGAGACTCTCACAAACACGATGGTGTTCTCCGTTTTGCTCTAGGACACCCACAAGCCTCACAAGAATCATCTGAAGGTCCCCGTTTTAAAAAATCAATGGAAGTATATAAGTTTAGTGCCTAAAATAAGGGGATAAATACATGTTAAATAGTTTCCTGATCTTTCTTATATCTCTCAGATATAGGACAGACACTTCATAAACAAACTTCCTTT